TGTCTCCTTCTAAGTCCTTTCATTCTCATTTTAGAAAGACTTACAGAGTGGGAGGAGTCAGCACATTCAGTATGGGATCTTCAACTCAAAAGTCTTCTATCATGTATTCATCTAAAAATGTTTTTACTTGAGGGTATTATCTGCTGTAATCAAAAAATTGTACAAGTCAGGAGCTACAGATATAGCTCAGTTGGTAGAATGTTTGCCTAGCATGTGTGAAGACCTAGGTTCAATCCTTAGTACCTCATTATCTATGCACAGTAACTCACACCTGTGATCCCAGCACTAAGGAATTCAAGGTCAACCTCAGCTACAAATGAGTCAAGAGGCCAGCCTGGGCTATATAAGACACTGTGCTAATTTTTTTTACAAATCACATAGGTATGATTCCAGTATGTTTTCATCCATTTCTGTTCTTCATATTGTGTGTCTACTTCCCATTCTGTATCATCACCTTCTATATCAACTCGATCACTCCTAGCAATGCTTCAAAAAGGCTTCAGCAAACCCCATCTTAGTCAACAAGAAGTCCCTCCCTAGTCCCACATATCCATTCCCTACTCACAGCTAAACCTGCAGACTATCAGTGCATGCTGCCTTCACCTCCTCACCTCAGGACTGCTTCTCACGCTAGTCAGCTGCACCTGTGTTCAACTGTTAGCCTTCACACACTGAGGTCACTGATGATGTTCAGTGTGCAAATCAACAGACCCTTTCCATCTTTATTTTACTAAATCATGCTGTAGACCACACCCTCTTCTGGAAGAACTTCGTTTCAGATCAATGAGGCTGTACAGTATCTTGCTGTTTTTTCTGGTTACTTTTTCTGTGATTCTTTGATTCCTCTGCTTCTTCCCTCACCGACCACCCCTAGACCTACAACAGTGTTTTTTAAACCTGACTGCACATAAGGACCACATTCTAAGCTCTAAAAAAAAAAACAAAAAAAACAAAAAAAACAAAAAAAAACCAGGCAGGGGAGAAAGCTCAGGGTTAAGTGCTTGCTGTCCACGCATGAGAACCACAGTCTAGATCTCTTGAACCTGTGTAAATTTGGGGTGGGCATGGTGGCCTGCCTATAATCCTCCGGAGAGGTGGATTTAGGGATGCCTGGACTGGCCACACCAGCAAACTCTGGGTTCAACTGAGAGACCCTGCCTCAATATTTAAGGTAGAGAGTGATGGAGGAAGACTCCCAACAGATCCATGCACATACGTGCATCCACACACATGCAAACATATGTATATTAAAAAAAGTATTAAGGTGCAGGCCTTTCATCTCAGCACTTAGGAGGCAGAGGCAGGCAGATCTCTGTGAGATAGAGCCCAGCCTGCACTATATAGCAAGTTCTAGGACAGCCGGGGCTATAGGGAGACCCTGTTTAAAAAAAACAAATAAAATACAATTTAAAAGTAAATAAAAAAAATTAAGACCTCCTTCTGATCAACAGATTCCATAACCCCAGGTCTGCCCCTACAGTCAGGGCTCTGCAGTGACAGTCACACTCTCATGTCTTCCTCTGCATACCAATCTAATCCTGTCTACACCATCCACACCCAAATGTCTAACTGTCCCACTGTCTCAGTGCCCAGACCTTCTGCTCAATCCAGACTTTTCAGCAGCTTTCTCGGCACTTTTTCCTCGGTGTCCCACTGGGCCTCTACATACCACCAACAGTCTTTAGTCTCTTCTCTCTAATTAATTTTCCTTGGGGCAAAGAACCCATTTGTTACTTAGATTTCCACTAAAACTTCCATATCTTCCAAGAGGGCTTTTCCTGAATTTTCAATTAAAATTTTTATTACATTTATTTAATTTATATTTGTGTGTGTGCATGTGTGTGACACAGCGTGCACGTGGAGGTTTAGAGGACAACTTGTGGGAGTCAGTTCTTGACTTCCATTATGTAGGTTCCTGGGATCAAACTCAGGTAGTCAGCTTAGCAACAAGTACCTTTACCTGCTGAGCCATCCTGCCTGCCCCAAATAGGTCTTTTCTGACATCCCAAGCATAACAAGGTCTGTGCTTCATTTTGCAGTCTGGCTGTTATTTGTCACAGATCTATTATAGGAGGTAACTTTGTTTTTGGTGTGGGGGGGGTCTTTTTGAGACAGGGTCTCCCTGTAGCCACAGCTGGCCTGGGTTCGCTATGGAGACCAGGCTGGCCTCAAACTCACAGAGATCCACCTGCCTCTGCCTCCCCAGTGCTGGGATTAAAGGCATGTGCCACCACACCTGGCGTTAGGAGGTGACTTTTTGAAAAAGATTAATTTTATTTATGTGTATATCTGGTGTGTATATATGCCACATGAATACAGATGCCTATGGAAACCAGAAGATGTTGGATCCTGGAGTTGGAGTTACAGGTGGTTGTGAGCTGCCTAATTTGGCTGCTAGGAACTGAATGCAGGTCCTCTGGAAGAACAGTATGCATTCTAGTCATTGAGCTATCTCTCCAGCCCTGTGACTGTCCACTGGAAAGTAAGTCTGAGAGCAAAGATTTCTTGGCTACACAGTTCTGGACAGAGCACCTGACATACACGCTAATCTGATGAACTAAATAAACACACAAGGGAATTGTATGGCATTAAAGTCCTTCATAATGTGGTGCAGAGACTGTAGACAGTGTATCATCTTATAATATGTATGTAGTGCATTTAAATTAATATTTTAGGTTCTTTTCCTGAATATTTTAAAATATTTAAAACATGTATGAGAAAACACATTTCATACATGTATTCTGGCTTGCTTTTTTCTTGCAAGGCTGTGAGCACATGGGGAAAGGGAACAGATGGACAGACACATGGATGGATGACATGGACACTGCTACTCTGAGTGTTTTGTTTTACTTGAGACATGGTCTCCCTGTAGCCACAGCTAGCCTGGAACTCACCATGTAGACCAGGTTGGCCTCAGTCTCTCTCACTGAGATCTGTCTGCCTCTGCCTCCCAAATGCTAGGATTAAAGATGTACACCACCATACCCAGACCGTACTCTGAGCATTTTGAAGAGCGCGTTTTAAAGTGCTGATCTCTCAATTTTCTTTGGATCTCTTTCCCCTTTAGGGACCCAAACCACTCAATGACAGTTTACTGAATGAATTTACTGATATTTCACACAGTTCAGACTTTGAAGTTCTGTTTTCAAGACTTTCTCCCCTTGGTGTCACACCTTGGGTCTGGCTCAGGGTTGCCTTTGCTGCTGTCTTGCTAGGGAGAAGAAACTGGACAGGCTAGCCCTAAAACAAAGAAGGCCGATACCTAGTTTTTCACTTAGCAACTATAGGATAAGGGCTTTTGGCTGAACACGCTATGGAGCAGTGGTCCCATGTCACCTGCCCTCCCTACCGATACAGGCTCCAAGGACTGGAAGATCAATGCAAGTGACATAAGGAGGTCTCTGCAGAAGCTCCGGGCCATGCACATGTGTGACAGAACAAACCCAGCCCAGGGCAAAGTGGACTGGGTGGTTTGCTTTTCCATTCACATGTCCTATTGTATGGGAGGCCCTCTGTGATGAAGATGAGAAAAGTAGACAGGAAAGGGTTCTCTCATCCCAGCCCTTCTAAGAAAATGCTATCAGAGCAGCACCTGGGCCTCACCACCAGCTGTTTCAGGATTTTGACCACAAATCACCTCTGCCGAATTCTCACTTTGAGCCTCTCCTGCCTTAGTTCTTCAGCCTCAAATCTCTCTATTCTCACTCATCTCGTTTTCAGATGTGGCCACTCAAACCTTTAAGGTAGATTTTCCTCTAACCAAAATGTAACCCTGGCCCAATTCCTCAGTTTCATCTACTTTTAAATTCATCCTTTTAGTCTGTGGTACTGAATCATGTTAGCCTCACCCCATTTGATGTTCCACACCACACTCATGGGCCAGGCAATCACGGACAACCCTCCAAAACTGTGAGACAAAATAAATCCTTCCTGCCGTAGGTAGTTTCTAAACTAATACAGCCTTCGAATCAATGACATTATTGTATGACAAAGTTCAGCTGTTAGCCCCTAACTGAATTCTCCAGCTGGATCACCTCTCTTTTGCAATCAATAGGCTCTCCCGTTCCCTTATTCTTGATTGTCACATATGCCTAGAAAGGACATGTTTCTAGTGAAACAAGTGATCCAATCCAAAGGGAATTCCCAAGAACAGTCTTAAAAAATTATGCACTGCTGGGCGTGGTGGTGTACGCCTTTAATCCCAGTACTTGGGAGGCAGAGGCAGGCGGATCTCTGTGAGTTCAAGGCCAGACTGGTCTACATAGTGAGTTCCAGGACAGCTGGGGCTACAGGGAGACCCTGCCTCAAAAAAAAAAAAAAAAAAAAGGACAAAAAAAAAAATTATGCACCAGGAAAGCACTCACAGTGACTGTGTAGGCTACTGACCTAACCACTGTGAAGGGGACAACACCCAAGCACACTGATGACAGCTGTATTTACTGAGCCACCATGATATGCCAATCCCTATGCCAGGTCCTTGAGTTAGATCTTAATACCAGCCCTATCCTGAAGATGAAGAAACTGGAACTCCACAAAGATCCATGCTGCTAGGAAACAGTGGGGCCGCACTGTAATGCAGGTAGCCCGGCACCAGACAGGATCTGCTGCTTCATCTAATTGCCTCATCCAGCCTGCTGGAGCCCTGTGCTGCAGGGTGTTTCTGGTAAAGGCCATGCCTGCCCCCTATTTTGCAGGGACAGGGCCCCCCTGTGGGAATCTAGGTAGTATAAGCCTAGCACAAGAATGCCTTCTGTTTCTTACTTTCTGAAAAGAAAGTCTCCAAGACAATGAACTGAACAGCATTATTGCTTATCAGCTACCTGAGCCATTGGTGATCTCCAGGAGACCCAAGTAGGCCCTGTATCCGCAGGCCTCCTTCCCATACAGCTTGCTTCCATGCCCCTTCAGGTTCACTCTGGACTGGGACACCCCATGCCAGGGGCACCTAAGTACTTCAAGACCCAGGATGCAGGGCTCTGTACCACCCATTTGCCACTTACCAGCACTGGGGTCTGTGGGTGTTTCACCTTCCTCAGAGTCCTCCTGTTCCTGCATGGCTGGCCTCTCCCCACGCTCCATCTGTGACATGAGGTCTGGTTTGGATATTGCATAGTCTGGATAGAAGGAAGGAAAGAAAATATTGTAAGGGATGAGGTGGCACTGCATGCTGCTAAGGTATACCTCTGTGGGGATGTGGGAAACAGTTCCTCTGCTGGGGACTGGCAATATTGGAAAAGAAGTGGCCAACTGTTCAAACTTTTTCCCAGGCCCATTGCACGTGTGTGCGTGCGTGCGTGTATGTCTCGTGCTGCTCAGAGTACTGAGGTTTGTCCAGGGTTTCCATGAAAAAACTGAAGTTTTATAAGGTAAAGAAACTAATCCTGATAAAGTATAAAATTCATAAAACAAAATACTGAGAAGAGTTCCTTACATTAAAAAAAAAGTTTGCCAAGCACAATGGCTCATGCCTGTAACACCTGCACTTGGGAGGCAGGGAGAGAACTGCTATGAGTCCACTGTCAGCATGGGCCATAGAGTGAGTTAAAAAACAAAAACAAAAAAACCCAAAAACAAAAAAAAGGGGGGGCTGGAGAGTTGGTTCAGCAGTTAAGAGTACTGGCTGCTCTTACAGAAGACCTAGGTTTGAATCCCAGCACCCACATGGTGGCTAACAACAATCTGCAACTCTAGTTACAGAGGATCTGACACCCTCTTCTGAGCTCTGAGGGCACTGCATGACATGGGTGCACTTACATACATGCAGGCAATACACTCATACACATAAAGTAAAAATAATAACATATAAAAGATAAAATTTGGCAGAAATATATATATGTATACACACAGATTTGTCACATATGGCAAATAGTTAATCAGAAGACATACAAATGACCAGCAAATGTATAAAAAGGATGTACAAGTTCACTAATCATCAAAGAAATACATTAAAATAATGAAGTATCATTTCTCATCTATCAAAAGGAAAATATATTTGCCGTATTTCCAGCACTTGGGAGGTAGAGGGAGAAGGATCAGGAGTTCAAAGTCAGCCTTGGCTATAGCAACTTTTGAGGCCAATTGGAGTTCTGTGATTTTGTTCTGAGGGGAAAAAGGCAAATATTTACAGCAACAGAGTAAGCCAGGGTGTGGAAATGGCATTTTCACGTTCCGTTGCACACAGGCAGTGGTTGAGCTCTAGGCGGCCCTGTGGCAGTGCACTCTCTGCTCCACACAGATTTCACGTCTGCACTGCTCAAACACTCAGTCACTGCAAGAATATATGGAGCTATTTCTCACAACACTTTGTAGTGAAAGAAACAGAACCAACCATGGCTTATCAACAGCAGCACAGTCAAAAGTGGACTTCATTTGGGGCTGGAGAGATGGCTCAGCAATTAAGAGCACTGGCTGTTCTTGCATAGGACTGGGGTTCAATTCCCAGCACCCACATGGCAGCTAACAACTGTCTATAACTCTAGTTCCAGAGGCTCTGATGCCCTTTTCTGACCTTTAAGGGCACTGCATGACACAGGTACATTTACATACAAGCAATATACTCATACACATTAAAAAAATTACTTATTCTAGCATGAATCAGTTTCTATCCAACAGTGTATTCAACACTTAAAATTTTCTCTATCTCTTCTGTGTGGTATACGTGTGTGCATATGTGGAGGTCAGAAGTTGATGTTGGGTATCATCCTCTGTCATATCTCCATTTATTTTCTTGGAAGGGGGCTGTTTTTTTGAGACAAGGTCTTACTATGTAGCCCTGGCTTGCTTGGAACCCACTATGTAAACCAGGCTAGCCTCAAACTCCAAGATCCAACCAGCCTCTCTGCCTCCTAAGTGCTGGTATTAAAGGCATGACCACCACAACCATGTCTACACCTTATTTTTTGAGACAGGATCTCTTACTGAATCCTAAACTCAGTTTTGGCTAGACTGGCTGGAGAGCATACCTTACAGATTGTCCTGCCCTCATGCCCCAACTCCTGGCCCCAGCTCTAGCACTGTGGTTACAGACGTAATCGCTGTGTGCAGCTTTTATGTGAATGTCAAGGATCTGAACTCAGGTCCTCAAGTTTGCACTTTACCCACTGTGTCATCTCCCCAAATCACCCCACAATTTTTGTTTATGGCAAAAGAATTCCACATATGAGAGAAAAGCGTACAAACAGAAGAAGCAAAATACATCTTTCCAGGTTTTTTGTCTTTTTTGCAACCGGTTAGCCTGGAGCTCATTATGTAGACCAGTCTGGCCTTGATCTCACAGAGATCCACCTGCTTCTGCCTCCTGAGTGCTGGAATTAAAGGTGTATGCCACCATGCCTGGTTTAGGGGCAATTTTTAACAGCCGGATTATAGCCTCTTTATCTGCATAATGGGACCAAGATCTGGCCCATAAAGTCTCAATAAATGACAGTGTTCAGTCATCTGAATAAGAAAACTGGAATAGACTTTGGCCTATCCTTCACTGAGGCCTGGGAATCATTTTTGCAAAGCACCTCACATACTGCTGGTACCCAGTATGCCTTTAGTACATCTGTTTTCTTCTATTCGTTTTATCTTTCCTTAGTAACAATTTGTCAGACAAATGAATTTTCTAAGGATCCGTGGGGAAAATACTGTGGTGCGAGATCACCGAAGTCTAAGTCTGCCTTCTCCCTGTTGCCTCAAGTGCTGCTCTGCAGAACAGTATCTCTAAACATTGTTCCCACCTGTACCAAACTGGCACACAGGAGCGTATTTGTGTTTGTTTTAATTTGTGGCACTCTAAAATTCTGTTTGTAGGGCTGGGGAGATGGCTCAGTTGGTCAAGTGCCTGCCACACAAGAACAAGGACAGAGTTTGGTCCCTAGCACCCATGTGATACCTGGGTGTGTGGGTGTAGGGGAGGTGTCTGCAACCCAAGTGCTGGGGGAGGGAGTGCTGTAGGTGGATCAGGGCATGCTGGCCAGACAGTCTAGCCAGGGGAGCTCTGGGTTCAGTTAGAGACCCTGTCTCAAAGCATAAGTTGGAGAGCAACAGAAAGACTCTAGTCGTTGACCTCTGGCCCCTATGTGCACACATACACACAGTACAGAGATATACACCAATAAAATAAAATTCTGTTTGTGGTGGTGCATGCCTGCCTGTAATCTCAGTAATTCAGGAGGCAAAGACAGCAGGATTGTGAATTCAAGGCCAGCCTGGGCTACCTGGGGTGTTTCAGGCTAGCCTCACTAAACAGTGAGATTCTGTCAAAAACAAGCAAATAAAACCAAAACCAAACAAAATTTGATTTGCTTTGTTTTCAATTATTGTATCTACTGAGGACTCCATAAGCTTCTACCCAGTCCTCATGCCCATGTTGCTTGCGACAGCTTCTGTCCTTACCCATGGAAACCAGAGACTCGTAGTTGCCCCTCATCACATTCTTGTAGAGTTCTTTCTGCCACTCAGAAAGGTTTCCCCATTCCTGCTCTGAGAAATGGACGGCGACATCATCGAACGTGACAGGGACCTGAAACCACACAACTGGGGTCAGAAGAGATCAAAGGGACAACAGCTATAGGCTTCAAATTCCAACTGTGCCACCCCAAGCCCTGGCACAACTACTCATCGCAAGGACTGAAGAGGGGAAGACTTGCACCCATTTGCTCTGGGTGTAAGACCAAAGACCCTTCTGGAAATCTGGTCACATTCCTTGCCTAGGAGTAGAAGACTCATCTTGCCTGGGTCCTTCCCCCTTGCAGGATAACCTTGCTGCTCTAAAGTATGGTCTGTGGACCAACGGCAGAAGCAGCACCAAGGAACTTGCTGGAAATGCAGACTCTCAGGCCTCACCCCAGACCTACAGAAATTAGTGTGCCTGCAGTGAGATGCTGGGGGGTTCACGTGCACAACAGAGTTCAAGAGGTGTCGTCCTACAGACAGTCTTTTGAATAGAAAGAAAACTGGTCCACGTTCATGCTCCTTTGGAGCTTTCTGGAAAACAAAATTAAAACCTAATGGTCTTTAGCTTCTTAAGGATACTTCTTAAAATCAGTTTCATTAGAATTAATGTGATTTATGAGCAAATCAACAAAACTGTCAGGCAGAACAAAACCTGTTAACATTTAACCTACATTTCCCCTGTCCAGTCTGATGGGAAATGATTAGGTACTGTTCTTCAGTACAGCTTCCCTTGGTATCTGCAAGGGATTGGTTCTAGAACCCTTAGGATACTGAAGTCTGCACATGCAGAAGTCCTTATATATAATGGTAGTGTTTGCATAGAACCTACACATATCCTCATGTGCTTTAAGTCATTCCTAGATGACTTGCAATATCACCTCAATGTAAATGCTGCGTACAGTTCTTATCTGTACACTATTATTTAGGGAGTGACCAAAAAAAGTATAATGTTCAGTACAGACATAATTTTCTCTTTCCCAGTGTTCTCAACGCAGAGCTGGGAGACTCCAGGATGCAGAGGCTGAGTGTGGAGGGCCGAGAGCAGAGACTGCAGACGCTCTCAGTCTTTGCCTTCTATCTCCAGGCACTGGGAATGGCTCTACTGACCCCTTTCTAAATGGACAATATGATACCTGGGGCATTTTGTACCAGCCTGTGCTTTTACCAACAGGAGAAATGAGTTGCTTTTGGTATGCCTGTTCTCAGTGAAGCAATACTGGAAAGGAGGGATCCTTACTTTTTTTTGTTTCAACCATCATTTTTCTTTTCTTTCAATTAAACTCAATTCCAGAACCATATTCCCATTCAGATGGAGGCCCCCAATGGAATGGGTATACCTTGGGAACTTCTCCATTGCTGCCTGGGGGCAGTCGCAGGATCCAGAAATTTCTGTTTTTCAGCAGATTCTCCATGTTCTCCAGCCGCCTCTGCAGCAGTCCATACTCCTGAAGTAAGGTCCCCAGCACAACCCACTTGCTCTCCAGATGGTTTGCAAACTCCACGGCTGTCTTCTCACAGTCGGCTATCTTTTTTTCATTTGTCCCTGTCCTGCTCTCCAGGGTCAGTAACCTCATAGCCTGGGCCTCCAGTTTCCTCTCCACTGCTTGGACGGCAGCCCACACAGCCAAGCGAGTGATCTCTGCGGTGGGCAGTGGCTGTTCCTTCTGGGCTGTAGAAGAGGAATGGAAAGGAGTGTCTTTTTGGGAAGTAGGGCTCTGGAGGAGGGGGTCCATGTCAGTCTCAGGAACTGTTGGGGAAAGAGTCACCGAGTCTTTCTCAGGAACTTCAGGAGAGTGGAGTGGAGCTTCCTGATGGTGGGTGGAGTGGGAGAGAAGGGGGATTTCCTGCTCAGCAGCAGAGGGAGGGTAATGGGATTCTTCCTGGGAAGCTGGGGACTCCTGGTGATGTAAGTCTTGTGCAGCTGCAGCAGGACACAGGAGTGATGGTCCCTTCTGGAGAACATGCGACATCTGGCCAGAAGTCTCTTGCTTGGGAGCACTGGCAGTCTGGGGCAGCGAGCCTTGCCGGGGAGTGGCGGGAGACAAAGAAGGAATTTCTTTCGGGGGAAGAATGCAGGATGGGAACACGGTTTCTTGGGGGAGTCCAGCAGGGGCCTGATGCGAGGTCTCTTCTTGTGGAAGAGTAGAGAAAGACAGAGGTGATGAGCGTTGGCTCTCCATGACTAGCTGCTGGACCTATGTTCAAGTAAAGAAGACAGGGTTGAAGGTCACAGTCTCCAGCTGGCAAAACAAATCCCAAAAACAAGAATTCATGTTAAAAGGTCTTCAGTTTTCACAGTAATAAGACACCCTCCATGAACGCAAACCTCTTAGGATGGTGGCACTGATCTAGATATCAATGGTAAAACTATTATTCACAGTTAAAAGATGGCTGTGCCACCTTCTGTTTTCTACAGCCATCTTATTTTTCACAACATACATTTCAGTTATGATGAATGGTATGAGGGAGCGGATGGGTACTGGAAGTGAATTAAGAAGCTGCTGCCACCATCAATACCTACTGCTGCTTCTTCACCCTGGCCTGGTTATGTGTTTGCTGTTCTTGTCAAGAGAAGCCTGCAGAGCCTGGTTGGCTTTGGGCATGTAGGACTGACTTCTGCTACAAGGGGAAAGCCAAGCGAGACAGGAAGACAGCTCTCTAGGCAATTCAGTCTCCTCCAGGAGCCAGTGTCTCCTGGTCACTATGGTGGGTTCCTCAGGCTGGGTTCCTCCCTGTGGCTCTTTAGGTAGGGAGTGAGGGACAAGAAAGGCCTGGAATGACCTGAAGCAATGCAGAAGCCAACAAGTGTTGACAGTATGTCAAGAGTGCTGGGGACTAGGGACATACTCTCTGATCCCCATCTTGACACATTCATGTCAAATTCTTGAACCACCACAACTAGGAGACAGGAAGACTACTAAGGATGTAAAGCCATGCTCTTCTGTGAGTGGCCAATTCACTGACCTAGTCATTCAATATCTTTATTGGAACTGACATAATTTTCCTATAATAATTTGTCAATCTCTTTATAGTATTCCTTCAGTGAATCTGTTCAACTACTATGTTCTATATGAGTGATCTTTTAAATATGGGAGCTAATTAGTATAGAGCTAACAATTATTCAGTGTTTATTATGTGCCGTAAACTGTGTTAAGTATTTTGAAGAATTACCTCATTTCAAAACCTGATGAAATAGGCACCACTAGAATTATTACCCACATTTATCCCATGAAAACACTGAAGATGGAGAAGCTAAGAGTGTCTTGCTCAGGTCACACGACCTCCTGGCTCCAGAGTCTGTAGGTTACCTCTAGGCCTCCCCTACCAACTGAGGCGTGGGTAGGTTTGAACTGAGAGGGCTGGACATTAAAGAGACCTATGTGAGGCTTACCACAAGAGGTCATGAAGGGATGGAAGGTCCTATTCCTAAAGACACTACCACTTAAGTGAGGCAGGGAGCCCTTTAGAAAATCTAATACAAATGCTGGGTTCAAAGACCCCTTAAACCTGAAGGCTAATCAACAACTTATTCTCAATCCCTCACTGTTAAGGTGAAGACTGGATGGCTCCTACTATCATAATGGGTATACTACAGCTGTCTTCACAGGTGGATTAGGGTACTTGCCTACAACTAGTAGGAAGAAGGGAAAAATCACTAGAAGGCCAGGTTAGTTTCCTTGAGTAACACAGGGGTTTAAGTTAAAAAATAAAGGTTTCAATGTTGGCAGGGCAACACATCTTTGTTACCCAGTCTAATCGGAGCTCAAAGGAAAATGCTGTTTTGGCTCTCTATTATGAGACTGTCTTGCCACTTAGGGATTTGGAGTGCTGAAAAGGAGTAAGGGGCCACAGGACAGTGTCCCTTTCCCCACCCACCAGATAATAGTCTCGTGCTATAATTTCATTAGTTCCCGTAAACCTGTGGCTTGATCTTACCCTAAGCAAATATATCTACTATGAATAAACTCAGATTCTCTAACTGCTGGCAGGGAGGAGGTCTTGAATTCCTCTGAGCCATATTTCATGGGGTTTTCACTGTCTCGCCCTCCCCCGTGTATCCTGGTGTATCCTGAATCGGAAGGGGTCTCCACGATTCATGCCATGTTAGTAGAAACATGCAGAACCACGAATATCTGACTTATTACAAAATCTGTGCCATTTTCTTGCTTGCTCCTGGATCGTTCACCCAGAATTACATGACATTAAAGGGTTGCAGAGACCTCAGCCCAGAGGTAGGCATATTAAATAAAAATCTTCATTTTTATTTCCCAAGAGTTTTGTTATTGTTATTATTTCAAGAACAGGAGGCTCTTGGAAAGCCTTGTATCCCACCCCTTTCCTGTACACATAGGAAAACAGGCTCAAAAGCATGCTGCAAACCTGCCCAGCACAGCCAGGGCACCTCAAAGGGCACGTTGGGTGGAGAGGGAGTTTAAAGACTGAATGGTCCACCGAAGGGGCATGTGAGCTCCCAACCTCGGAGGAGCTCACTCCCCAGGGACACCCCGAGTTTGCTAGGGAAGGGGTTCTCCAGACGCAGAGCCTGGGGTCACCGATCCCCCCACCCCCACCGTGGAGACGCGGGGCTGGACGCTGCTCGGCCTTCCTTCCCCTCCTCCCCCGACGGGCCGCCGCCACCGCTCGCTCGGCTAGCCCGGGCGGCCCACCCCCTCCCCGTCCAGGCCCGCAGCGCGCCGGCCTGGCCTTTCCCGGGGGCCGCAGGCACCAAGCCGCAGACGACTCGCTACGTGACCTTGGGGCACGCGGGGCAGGTCGCCGCCAGGTGTCCGAGCCTCAGTGTCTCAGCTCTGCGAAATGGGAGAGCCGCGTCACCGCCGCGCCCAGGCCGGGAGCCGCTCCGCGGGGCCGAGCTCTGCGGAAAACGTGCCGGCGGCCACCCCGACGGACGCAGCGCC